AGCCATGCCCACCGCCCTGTGGTGCAGACCCTGTCCCCAGCCCCCAGCTGCCCTCCCCTGACACAGCTCCATGCCGTTCCCTCGGGCCCTGTCGCTGTCACACACAGCAGAGCTCAGCGCTGCCCCTCCGCTCCCTGTGAGGAGCTGCAGCCGCCATCAGGCCTCCCCTCAGCTCCTCTGCTCTGTGCTGAACCAACCAAGGATCCCAGCTGCTCCTCTTACCTCATGCCCTCTATAGCCTTCACCATCATCATAGCCTTTCTTTGGAAACTCTCTTTATGCTTGATGTCTTTCTTATTTTTTAGCTGCTTTGTTTTCCCCCCTGTTTAAGGCATCAGAATTGCACGTTTAAAATGAAAAATGTAAAAGCTGAGATGGTATCTTTTTTCTGATTAACAGCCTAAGAATTCAGCTGATTAAAGGCAAACTGGGATAAAAAATATAAGAATCAATGAAGATAGAGTGACTTTCATACCCAGTGCGGTTCAAAAACAACTGTACTGTGATTATGCAAATCAGCCACTCACCAAAATGCAGAGATTTACATAACGGAGAACAAAATTCTTCACAGTTATGCCTCAGTAACCTTACAGGATTCTTGCACTTTAACTGTGTGACTCATTGTAATAAAATGATCCCACTCTCTTTATTCAGAGTGAAATATACGGTAGGAAATCACCATTTTGTATGATTTGTGTGTTTTTGGAAGCCTACCTTCTCCTGCCACAAAATGTGATGTATGTATTTCTTTAAAGAGAAAGAAATAAATGCAAAGCTAGGATTTCTGCTTGTATCAATCAAAAATTTAACTGGGTTTACATATTTGCATCGCTGTTCTTGTATCAAATGTATATTGATACAAATGGTCCCTTCCTTCTACTTGGAACTTCTATTTCCTCATTTTATGAAATTTATATTTTTTGATAAAATAAGTCTTTGGTGATGCTTATATCACAGGAGGAAACATCAGTGTCATTTAAATTGCACAGCCCCTATACTGTAGTTTTGTAGATGGAATCTTAAAAGGAATCATGATATTTTTAGTTAGATAAATATGTCTAGCCTACTTAACTTGTGACATTTATGTGTTCTATAAAACATTATTTTTGAAAGATGACTCTCCCATTACAAGCCACATGGAAGGGACAGTTATTTATTCAGCTGGGTATACTTTGTTGTACCTTTATTTTTGTCATCACCATTATTGGATTTTTTTTTTTTTTTTTTTTTTTTTTGTATGTGTATAGAAACATGACTTGACATTACAGAATTTCCATGGAAATCCAGAAAGAGAAGACTACAAATTAGACCCTACTACAGCTGGGCTTTTCATGGCTGTAAGTTGATTGCAGGTGAGCTTTTTCACAATATTTATATTTCACAATATATATTATATCTTATTAGACATCCATTAAATCACGAATAAATCATTATTTTTCATCTTCAAACATCTTAGGCAAAGGCTAAAACTAGAATTAAAACATGTAATTATTTCTCTCTTGCATACAGACAAAAAAGAAGTGGAAAAACATCCTCTCAAGGTAACCAGCAAGCTTTGAAAGACTCCCCTGTCATCTAAGGATGAACACAAAATCTTTGGAAGATTTTAATGAGAAAGTATGAGATAAAAACCATGCTGGTCCATAGTTGTCTCCCACTGGCAAATATCAGACAATTGCAGACCATCGCATTTCTCTACTAAGTCTCAGACTCAATTTCAAGTATCCAGTCTGAATCTACCAGAAAAAATACTGCTCCAAAGTCTTCCACATGCCAGATGTGTTCTTAGACCCAAATATCCACACTATCCCCAAAAGGCTGGTACACCATTTTTCTATTTTTTCTCTCTCATATGGCAAGAAATAAACAGAAAGACCCTCCAAAAATGATCTTGTTGGAACAAATTTATTTTCTGCTCTAAGAGAGACTCTAAACAAATTTGCAACCAGCTGAAAGAAGGAAGGTCTGATCATTTTTCTACCACAATGAATTCTTCAGCTGTGTAACTGGCTAACAACACCTCATTAAAAACTTCCTATTGACATAAAAGGAAAAAAATGGTAAGGAAATGTTATAATCTTCTGATAGGAAAATGAGGTGTCCCCTCTTCCCACAGATACAAGAGCTGCTTGTATCATAATGAAAGTAATGCCTCCTATTTTATTATGTTTGCCCATGATATCAGAGGTGAATGATAGTATGGCAGTAGAGGCTGAACTTTCCTGCCACTACTCTTTATGTCTTGTTGCTATGTGACAGATGGCAGCAGAGGGGCAGTCTGACAGAATGCATTCTGGCATGGAAGTGCACGTGAAGCAAAGGTGTGGCACAGTTATTCCATGTGGAAAAAATGGCACCCACTGACAGTCCTTGACACTTGCTGAACGTTTGTGGCGACCAAAGAGTGGATGTGAGCACAGTGAGGCAGTAAATGTTGTGTTTCAGCAGTGGCAACAGTGACAGTGGGTCACGTCCAGTGGTGCAGATTTTTATAACCGTGACATGCAAGTTCTTGTTCATTGCTGGGTAATATGCAAAGCTAATGGTGGTGACTGTGTCGAGAAGTAGTGTTTTGTAGCTGAGAACGTGCTCTATCAAATAGTGTTATAGTGCTTTTCACATCTGTGGTAATTTCCATGGAAATAAACAGGAGGCATTACTTTCGGAGTGACCTACTTTCATTAAAAGTTGCACAGACAGCCTTGATCATATTTATTCCTTGAATTATTCCTTTAAACAAAAACTATATTTAAAATAAAAGAGTTTTTTTCTTTTCTTTTTTTTCTTTTTTGGTCTTTGAGGAATTAAAAGTAGTCATCTCAAAACCAGAAGACATTAGTACCAACAAGCGGTGTGGAACAACTGCTGAAGCAACGTTATTACTGAAGAAAAAAGGAAGAAGCATAAAAACTAAGAGACAATAGGAGATATGTTGATAGTGTTAAGTTTGAAAGACTTTGGGCTTGTGTTTCAGGAAGGATCTGGTGAAAACTTTAAGACACTGTTCTGTCAAAAAAATAAGTAGGAGATTCTCACAAATAGGTGGGGAAAACTAATAGAAGTTAATACAATTACTAAAGGTGAAAATGATCAAGCTAGTCATTTACCACTATCTGGAAGAATGATCGAACAAAGGCAGCTATTTTGGATTAATTCAGCTATGGCAGGATTACCAACAACCTCCATAGTTCTCTAAAGAAGCAGATTCCCATTTAATTTAACGTTACATTCAGAGTACTTCTCTACATTAGGAAAGAAAGATGCAACACGTTCTGTTTGCACTCTTAGCAGAAGGCACCATATTTTATAATTACTAAAATGTTTTTCATCATACAGTTGTCTTATGGCATAATATACTTTCCTCTGACAATAATTCAGTCACATAAGTTATTTCTTTGCATGAAAAAAAGAAAAGAAGATTTCTTTGGAAAGATTCTCAAAATGAGTTCCCATTTGTCTTCATTGTTATTTTAAAAAAGTAGGTAGCAGTGCATTCAAAATTCCTCTATTTTCCTAGCACATTTCCAGTTGTCCATATACTGGGATCAGAGCTTACAAAATAAATATCTACATAAAAGTGTAATTCACCTTGTTTATATAGAATGGGGAGCTGTAAATTAAAAGAATATGGCTCAAATGCTGACCATTTCTCCCTCAGTGTCTCATTTCTTTTTCCCTCTTATTTTTTAATTCTAGCAGTTTTGTTTCTCCCATGATATCATCGAGCAATTTCATTTCAGTATGGTCTGCACTGGATTGTGCAGATTACCAAACTAATGACATATGGACTTCTTACCACTGTAACACATCTACTCCTGCAAGTGAGAATTTTGAGCGACAGAGCAAAGCTGTTTGTTATCAATTCTGCAAAAACTGCATCTGCCAGATTGCCAAGATTCATCTCAGAGATAAAAAAAATACAAAATAGATTAATATTCCGATTTGTTTCCCGTCTTTATCATTCATACAGCATTTCCTTACACAAATGATAATGTTCTAAAAATGAAAACTACTTGAAAATATTTTGCATTTACATTACTCTGAAGTAAAAATTATTTGAGATTCAATTTCTCTGTATTGCCTGCCATGGAAGCACAGACACTCATAGAGTTTAACCTCCATTTATCAAAAAATGCCAAAATTATCTGCTTGTATGATTTGGTTAAAAAAAGAAATTCTAACTTGTATAAAATGATATGGAAAGTGCTTAGTAAGTTGCATATTTAACACACATTAATGTGTGTACTAAAATATACCACACAGGTTCAAGCAGACTAATTATCATGAACAGCAGAAAGCTAACAAATATATACAAACTAATGACTCAACTCTGAATCAACAATTTCTAGCAAAGACTGAAAGAACACTAATGACTTGAAACCTGTTGACTTGATGGAAATATGAATTGGTACTTTTAAAATATCAGCACAGGTCTAAGAACTCATGCCAACAAAGTTCAATGACAGATCTCAAAGAATTACTGAGAGACAGATCTCAAAGTGTGATATTTTCATAGAGCTATCTCCTTGTTGGAAAGCCATTCTTTTCTCATCCATTTCTAAATTTTCTAATCTCCAAAGGTACACAGTACCTTTTGACAAGACTTAAGAAGTAGGGTTGAATTTGGCTTTCAGGTAGTATGCACATACCATTTGTAATAAACACAAAACCGTAAGTGTTAGTGTTAGGAAATACTTTTTGCTCCTTGTTCCCATTACTACTGTGAAGTCCTCCAGCCTGTCCATTTTTAATGACCTAGCAGTAATTTATTAGTAAAAGTTGCAACAATGATCAGACGCATCAAGAATAGACCGAAATCCCATATGAGTTTGTCTCAATATTTTCCACTACAATTAATTCTGAGGAGCTCGCTAAACTGAGTTTATCTTCTGATTATTTTAGCTTGAAAACATTTAGTACATTCTCTAAACAAACATCAGGACATTTCTGTTAAATCTAATCTGCCAGCAGAAGCTTTTAATCAGTCAAGTTTTACTCACATGGAATTTTGTTCAGTTCATTCATGAACTTCTCTTTTAACTTAGAAAATGCATCTTCTTTTCCTCCCCCTCCTCCGGGAGCGGCTGGCTCGGTGACATTGCTTGGAGGAGCTGCTGCTACTGTGGTCGCTGGCGGGGCTGCCAGGGCCTCGTGATGACTTTCACTCACCATTGTAACCCCTGTGGAAGCTGCTGTCGGAAAAACAAAAACAAAAACAAACAAAGAAGAACATGTTTACATCATGAAAACAAGAGCAACAGCAAACAGAGAACATGTTTACGTCATGAAAAAGGATCTCGTATCAATCAAAAACTAAATGGGCAGGATATCACTTGGTGCTCAAGCTTACTGAGTAAATACGACCGTGTCAACGCACTGCTTCATGTTCTTCATACAGTATTTATTAGAACAGAGAGAAAAGTCTCTTGCAGGGTTAATTTCAGCCAGAATCATTTTAGTGCTTAGTGTTCATCTTCAATCACATTGAATTCTGAACTGCTGAAATTGAAAACTCAGAATTCCTGTAAAACTCACACAGATTTACCTTTTGCTCTTCAATTCTGAAAGTAAAGGCACAAAGGGTAATTAGTGCTCCCTATGTGCAGATTTCACAATGATTTACAGAATTACTTACCTAGGAGAGTTACAGAAGTGCAGATTACAGCCAGAGTTTCAATATCAAACAAATGAAGTGATAAGGATGTAGTAAAAACACTTCATACCTCCCTGCCAAAGTAATAAGCTATTGTTTTATACTTAAGCAAGTTGTGTATTAAACAAGAATTGATTTGCATCCATTTTTATCTTTATTTATTGAAGGCAATTTTCCTTCCAGTTATTATGTGTGACATTTGCTGCTGACAATATTCTGTTAAATTATTCACATGTCTCATTGGTGTATTCATGAAGCTATGACATCTGTGGGGTATCTAAATGCAGCCATATTGAAGAATCTGAAAGGCTGTCACAAGCATAACACATTGCCATATTTTTCATTTAATGGGCATTTTACAAAACCTCTGCTTGAGCTTATGGTAGGAAGCAAAGAATTTGGGGCCAGCGGGGTGAAGGTGATTACACAGTGCAACTTAAGTACTATCAGAAGACTGGCTGAAATGTTTACATTGGATTGAACACATTGTTCTGAATTTCTGGTGCTTCCTAAATAGCAATAATCTGACTAATCATGCTTTGTTATTCTTCAGAAAACCAGAGGGAGAAAGAATTTGAAAGATAACAAACACTCATTATTGCTCTGAGTGCACAATTGCTCTCAGTCCCAAAAGAAACTTGGCCTTGGACCTTCTGCTGAGAAATTCAACCATCATGCAAAAAAGGCAACACATCAAAATTAAAGGGGCATAAGAGCATCTGACTGCATGCAACATGATAGACTGTGAATTCTCCTGCCCTACATGACCACTTTCATAGATGCTGCTAAGTGTAACACTATAATGTGATGGAAAGCGCAGCAATAACAGTGGGGTAGCAAAATGCTACACTGCAGCAAGTGAGGATATCCCTAAATGAAGCAGCTGTAGATGCTGAAAGAAAGGAAAGAATCTGCTTATCCTGGGAATGCCTCAACTAGGCAAGCATCTCCAGTAAGATACCCTTGCCTCCAATGCCAGCCCTTAAATGAGGTCTGGGAAGGAGTGGATCTTGGCTCTACTCTCTCCAGACACTGAGGTGCACTGCGTACACCAGAGCTCCCCTGGGTTGACCCGGCCTTCCCACCAGGCTCTCTGTCACTGTTTCAAGCCGTGACTTAGCATTTCTGATACAATGAGAGTGCTCAAATCACTAGATCCAAATGAGGATTGGCTTTTTGTCCTTCAACTTTTCTTGTGTAAGCCCTCAGGAAGATTCAATGCGTGCTCAACTGCAGGCAGACAAACCTATGGAAATCACCAGTCATTACACATAATGCACATAAGTGGGTCTGCACATAAGTGTATTCTGGAACAGAAGTCATCCTTTAACACATCATCTGAATAAAAAGGTGTTTACTAAATAGAGGATTGGCTTTGTTCTAAAGAAGCAATTTGATGGATATTTTGCAGCAATTGTATTGGGGCAGCACTGAATGAAGCAGTATTCCCTGCCTGCCCATTGCTTCTGCCTTTGTCCTCACAGTCTCTAGCCTAATATAAAATCATGTTGATGTTGACAAAGTATGTGTATGTGAGATAGCTACATAAATATTTCATACACATGCAGTCTTATCTATTTGCCTGTAACAACATGGGAGCAGTTTGCTATCTAAAGCAGACCAAAGCTGATGGAAAGATTCCAGTTAATATCCATGAACTTTGGCTCAAGCTTGATGTCTGTGAAGATTCCCCCTTTGCCTCTCACAATAACTATTGGGAAAAACATGTAGTGCATAATTTGTGTAGTACAGAATTACGTGCCAGCTCTTTCAGGCTAGGAGACTTTTTCCATATGCTCTGATGAATGCCAAATACTATGAAGCAAAACACGCAGAGCCATCAGCTGTAAACATTAATGCTGTTTTATATTATAGCATTTTGTCAGTGAATGTCAGTTACATCAGAAGAAAAGTTGTATGATATATCATAATTAAATCAAAATTAAATTGCTTAATTATAATATATTGGTTAATTATTTCAGGCCTGGCAGTCGACTATTTTATTTTGTAACGGAAGACACAATTTGCAGTGATGACTTTCAGCTAATTAAAAATTAAGGCAAATGTAATTTATTTGCTTCTAGTTTTGGAGCTGTATTTTGAAAATATATTAGGAGAATAAATTTGAAGTGCTACACTTTCATTTATTAAAAAAAAAAGGAAAAAGTAACAAACTACTGTACTGCTCTGATCTCCGGGAACAATCCTCAGCAGAGCCCTAGTGCAGATAGAGGTTACTACATCTAATGAGGCATGCACAAATGCTTTGAGACTTGCTACAGAGCCTTTGACCTTTACACACCAATGACACTGTCCTGATATTTTAAATAGGTGTGAAGAGGCTGAAGAAGCATCTCCTCTCAGAAAAAGCTGTCTGCAGGAAGGAATCTTCTGAAGAGCACATGCCCACTCCCTCAGAGAGATAACATCTGATAGCTTCTATTCTTGTAATGCTGCAGCTTCCCACCATAATGGTATAAACACAGTCGTATTATTAGAGACTGCAGAGTACTGGATAATTAGATTTAAATTGGCCTTTTACAAGAAAAAAAAAAGAGGTTACTTTAGTGCTGCAGTGCATTGCTAAAGGTAAAGATCTACAAAAGATGAGCAGATTATCTGTCATTTATGAAATGGCAGTTGCAAGCAAAAATTTCTTATAGGTTAAAAATTGAAAAGTCATAGAATTCAATTATGCTTCTAGTGCGGTGTTCACTACTGTGATGATACTGCCAGTCACGAAGCAATACATGTTGCATGTGTAACATGCAGTCACAGGTAAGAGCACATTTATGGTCATAAATAAAATACCTATTTCATTCACATGCTTCTATAAAACACAACACAGAGCATAGTCCCTGTTCATGCTGATTCTTTGGTATACGCTGCCCATCCTGAATAGTGCCATAAAATTCTTATGAAACAGTTGTGAAGCAAACGAACAAACAAACCAAACCCCTGAAAAAACACATGGAATGCATAGAAGTAATGCCTGTCATTTCTATACAGAAATAGTCAAGTGTTGACTGAAAATGCAGACGTGGTGATTTAAAGCCTTGAGGAAGTCGGGGATTTAGAACCCTACTGTTCCCTATGCAAGAAAAATCCTGACAAAAATGACTATCAACTCCAAAGTCTACAGAATTTCTACATCATTTTCTCTGAAAAAGAAGGATCTGAATAATTTACAAATGCACCCTGGAGATTCACAGAAAGGAATATATTTCCTTATGGAGGTACAAAGTACTGGCTGACTGCCTTTGCATTCTGGTATAGAACCTGCTGGTGAGAGACTTGTTGGAAGACACCTCTTGAGAGAGGAGTAAAGAAGAGAGTCAGACTTCAGATGTGGCTGATTACAGAGCATGGAGTAGCCTCAGAAAAACTCATGTTCCAGGGCAACAACTTCTCTTTGCAAACATTCAGGCCTACCTGAAGTGGGACGTGCTCCACCTGGAAGGACTAATCCCAGGGGAAACTGATACTTGTTTTGAATGGTTTTTGAAAAATAATCTGCATAATGTGACAGCATTAATGAGAGAGATGTGGAATGTTCACACTGATTCCTGTGAAATTCTTCAGGATATGGAGTGAAAGCAGAACAGTGTACCATCTTAAGCAGGCTCCCCAGGGCAGTGGTCACAGCACCAAACCCACTGAAATTCAAGTATTTGAACAATGCTGTCAGAAATAGGGTTTAAATTTTGTGTAGTCCTGTGCTGGACTTGATTTATCCTTGTGGGTACCTTCCAACCTGTGATATTCTATGATTCTGTGATCTTCTGCCAAATAATGGAGACTTTTATACTAGAGTTTAAAAAAAAAAACACAAAAAAACAGTGGAGAGAAGGAAAGGTTCAAATGACAGCAAAGAGCATTTGTATGATCCTATGTGGTTAACTGACAGCACATACACCTCAGCAGATTCCGAAGGACTTAGTGTATACTTAATCCCATGGACAGAAATTTTCTGCATGCTGTATTTCAGTCAATATAATTTTGCTTACTTCTTCCCTTACTTGCTGAATACAAACAGGATACAGTGAGATGGCGAATAGATCAGACATCCCACGCTGACCAGAGGAGGTATCATGAGGTATTTATTAGAGACTGTCCTTTTACTTTACTGCTGCTCAGATTTTTTTGTCATACTAAAAATTCAAATTATACAGATGTAGTGTTACGGTGAGTACCTGTGTAAGTTCTCAGAGGTAACTCACCATTTATTCAATGCATATTGCTGTAGCTGTAACAGCTACAGTCACTGTACGCCCATTAGCATGCAAAGCTGTAAACTGGCATCTAGACTGCTAAATGCTATTTCCTACACACCTTTATTTTTTCAGCATCCCAACAGTTACATAAAACTTGGAACGTGATAATGTTAGCTGAGAAAAAAAAAATCACACAGAAATATCACTCATATTATTCTGTTGTTTTTGTTTGCAGCTGCCATGCATTGAGAGGAAGAAATGATTGGCTTTCAATGGTGCTATGGCCAGGGTAAGCACCAGAGAAAGATTTGACACTGCAGTGAAA